TCCGGTGCCGGGCCAGGTCAGCGATGTTGACCCCATTGAAGATTATGTTCTCCACACAGCCACGGAAGTTTTGCCGGTAGGTGAGGTGCTGCTTGTCCTGGTCGATCACCCCTCCAAAGAAGATCTGGGAGGTAGAGAGGGTGGCTCAGCCTCACACTGACACAGCACAGAGCCGGCAGCCCGGCGATCCCTGCTTGCACACCCACCTCAGTTTCAAGGTCGAGGTGGTCGAAGGTGCCGTGGCAGCGGAAGTGCTTCACTTCTCCGTCCAGCGTCAGGTTGACGTGGTGGCCGTAGCGCTCGATGTGCAGCGAGTGCCAGTGCTGGTCATCCAGGAGGCTGCCCACCGCCACCGTCGTGTGGCCCTCGCTGGCGTGCAGTGGACTGCTGCCTGGGGAGGGCGCACAGTCACTCTGTATTCCTGCCTCAGCCCCACCTCAGTTCTTCCCGCCGGCCCCGGCTCACCTAAGCTGATGTGCAGGAGGAGCTGGGCTTGTTTGAGCTCCACTGTGATGTAGTCACCCTGCGAGCCCTCCCCATGCATCAGCACACCGTCCTGTTCCACTGTCTTGAAGTTGAAGGAGATATCATCTTCCATGGTGCTGATCTTCTTGGCCCGGAAGCGGTAGGAGATTGCATCATCCCCATCGAAGTAGAGCACATGGGATCCTGAGAGTGAGGCAGAGCCGTGTCATTGCCCTGCAGCAGTGGGCACCCCGACGCTGGGGAGCACATAGGTCTGACAGTCCTGACCATCGAGGCAGGTTTGTATAATCTCTAATGAAAGCTGGAGAAGGGTTCTGGCGTGTGCCAGAGCCAGACTGCGGCTCTGGCATTTGCACAAAAGCTGGCCCAGTGCCACGCAGCTATGGGGCTGAGCCCCTCCCCACATGGGAACCCCTGGGTCGGTACTCACGGTAGGGGCAGCCATAGAGGCCCAGGCGCAGCCCGATCTTCCCTCGTGGGTTCCAGGCCACTGGAATGATGCGGACGTAGCGGGCGAGGATGGGGTAGTGCAGGTCATGCCTCACCACACCACTCTCATTCACATTCCCAAAGAAAGTCTGGTGGTAAAGGCACAGCTCAGCCTGGAGCAACAACTGCCTGCACCCCCCAGACTCCCACCCCTCAGGGAGATGGGCAGTGCTTACCCAGTTGCTGCCCTGCTGGAAGAAGGGTTTCCAGCTGGTGGGGTGGTCCCCATAGAGCACGATGTAGCGTGTCAGCCAGTCGTATGTGTTGAAGGTCCCCTGCGTGGCCACTGCGTTGATCCTGTGCTTCTGCATCAGGTCGATTTGCAGCCAGGGCTGCTTGTCACGGGGGTCAGGGGACCACCCGCTAGTGCCTATGGGAGCGGGGGGGGGGGAAGGGGTCTCAGCAGGAACCCGCAGCCCCAATACTCCCAGCCCAGTACCCACAGGGGAAGCTCCCTGCACATCAGGGGGATGCTGAGGGGGAAACGTTGCGGAGGGACGTCCCCACGGCCCCTACACCCCGTGAATTTTGTCCCCACGTGCTGTTCCCGTCCCCATGGTGGGAGCGCTCACTGTGCAGCCGGGCGAAGCTTGCCGAGTAGAAGATGTTGTATCGGGAAGAGGCGCCAATGGACGAGGAGTAGAGGGATCCAACCAACTCATCGTAACACGGCCCTGCGGGGAACGGGGCACTGGGTGCGGCGTCCCAATCCCCGCAGCACCGCACACAGACAGCCGCATGGGAGATGGAGGCGTGGGGGGGCAGTTCCCCACGCTGCGTGATGGCAGGCGGGGGGTGACGGAGAAGCGGTGACGGAAGGTGGCGGATCCGCGGGCGATGGACGCAGACCCGCGCTGCTCGCAGCCGCCGAGCCCCGCACCGTGACCCAGCGCTTCTGCGTTGCCGAGCCGCGCTGAGAACCGGGGGCGGTGCTGCCGTCGGCCCCGCCCGCTGTCCCCGCTTTTGGGGACGGGTCTGCAGGCACCGCTCAGCGCCCCCGGCCGAGGGTCCGCGCCTTCCTCCGCGCTCCCACTGCGGCGAGAGCTGACGCACCGCAGCCTCCGCAGTGCTGTAGGAGCGGAGGAACCGCCGCCCGCCCCGCCTCGACCCCTCGGCCCGAGGCGGCTGCCGGGCCCGGAGCCCCCGGGTGGGGCCGGGTCAGAATGCCGCAGATCTTCAGAGAAAGCGACGTCCGCAGAGAAGGATGTGGTGGGGTCGGGGTCCCCAAGCCCACCGCACAGCTGTGCCGGGCCAGGCCGACCCCGGGGCGCCGTCCCGAAGGAGCGTCGGCTGCAGCCTCTGTTCCGCGTGGGTTCAACGGCAGCCGCTCCGAGCCCACCGCCCGCACAGCTCCACCCTCAGCCGTCACCCCCGCGCCTTCCTCTGTGCCTCCATCGCCCCGCGCCTCCCGCACCGCTCCCCCCGGCCCCGCCGAGCTGCAGGCGTTGGGCCTCGCCCCCCCCCCCGCCCTCCCTGCCGCAGCCGTGCGGCGCTGCCCGTGGTCCTGGCGGAGGCGCACGGTGCTGCGTCCTCCCGGCCCGGGACGCTCGGGATGCGGGGCGCTCGGAGGACGGGATGCGAAGCGCGGGGCGCGATGCCCGGCGCATCCCAGTGCTCCCGGTGCGGGGTCACGGAAGACTGCAGGCAGGGCCCTGCACGGGCGCGGGGGCTGCGGCTGGGCGGCCCCGGGCGTGGCGCTGGGGGGGGGGACGCCGGAACGCCCGTAGCCGGGGGTGACCTTGGGAAAAGCGCGGAGCGGGGCGCCAGGGGATGCCCGTGAGAACTGGGGAACGGGGCTGGAGGGGGAGGCTCGAGGGGAGGGGGAGGTCGGGGGGTGCCGGGCAACGCAGCTCCGTCCCGCAGTGCGGAGCGGCGGCTCCCGGGACCGCGGCCCCACCACTTACGTGCGAGGCAGCTGGGGCCGGGCCCGAGGAGAGCGGCGCAAGCGGCGAGCAGGAACCCGAAGAGGCGGCGAACGCCCATCGCTGGAGCGCCCCGAGCGCCCTCGGCGCCGCCGCTCCCGGTGCTGCAGCCGCGCGGCGAAGCGGGAACGGCGGCTCCGCCCACGGGGCGGTGGCGGTGGGGCGGCCCCGGGTCGGGCGGCGCTGGGGAAAGCGCAGAGCCCCCCAGCACCCCGCCTGCCGCCCCACAGCCCTCGAGCGGCCTCGGGGTGCCCGTCCCGATCACCGCCGGCACCCACGGGGCAGCCCCGGCCCCGCGTGGCACCCAAAGCGCGCGGCCTGCAGGAGTGGAGCGGGGGCGCGTGGGGAGAGAGCCGTACGGGGAGAGCGCTGCGCGGGGAGCGCACTGCACAGGGGGTGCGCGGGGAGCGACGCACGGGATGGGTGCCGTTTGGGGCATCGCGCATGGTGAGCAGCGCCGGTGGCTCGTGGTGCAGGCCCCCCCAGACGTGACCCAGCTCCCGGTGCCCACAGCTGCAGCAGGGAAGGATTTAAGTGGTGTCTGCCAGCCCTCTTGCAGCAGATGTGGTGATGGTTTGTAATCAAGCAGCAGATTAAGGCCTGCGGGTTGAGGGGTCGCCTGTCTTTCCCAGTGGTGCAGAAGTGCTGGATTTAGCCCGCGACTGTTCCCAAACATCCCCAGACGCCCACGGTGGGGACGGGGGAGGGGGCTGGCTGCTGTGTGCCCTACATATGCCACCTGCCCCACAGACCATGTGGTGCCCTATGGGGATCCAGCCCTGAGGGATGGGGATGCTCTGGGGGCTGCTGGTCCTGGTGCTCAGCAAGAGCCCAGCACTCCACTGGGCAATGCTGCCGTCACCTGCAGTGGTGCTGGGGCTGCTTCCTGTGCAGGAGCTGAGCTGAGGCCAGAGCAGGTGGTGAAAGAGGGAACAGAAAGACCCAGGTGCAGAGGGGCTGTGAGGAGAGCTGGTGGCATGTGCTGCTGCTAAGAGCTGGAGCCACGTCCCTGGGGATGTGGATGCAGTTGAGGGCCCTCCCGGCTCCGAGATCCTCGCAGTGCTGGTGGGTCCAACCAGGCTGTATCCTGACATTTGTCCCAGGGCTGTGTCCCTTCCTTTCCCCCAGCAGAATGGCATCCCCAGAGCAAGCACAGAGCAAAGGTCCAGAGCATGTATGTGCCTCGGTAAGGGCAGGGAGGGGAGAACCCTGCGGATGCCCAGCCTGCAGCAGCTCCATGGCCCCAGGGCACCAGCAGAAAGCTCCTGGGGCCAGTAGGGACTCTGCACAGAGCTGAGATAAGCCATGGAAAGATGACCGTTGCTGGGAGAAAGGGGGATTGAGGGATTATTGCTACAAGAGGCAAAAAGCCTGCTAGAGCCTGAAATCAATTTGCTCCCTGCTGGGGAGAGCAAAATGGGTCCTCTTTCCTGCAGATCCTAATCTGGCCCATAAGGAGGGGCTGGGAATGGTGTTGTCAACAACCAGCAAACCGCCTGCCCAGCACTGATGGAGCACAGGGGCACAGCAGCAGAGCAGAGTGTGGGACCCTGTGGGCAAGGGGGATACCGTGCATCAGCAGTTCCTGCAACTGCCATCTCCCATCAGGGCAAGCAGTGCCCAAGCTGAACACGTCTCTGCTTGCTGCCCTGGGACAGTGCCAGCCCACAGCAGTCCCGCACTCTCTTTGGCACTGCTTCCCTCTGGCTCTCGCACAGCCTTCTGCTTGCAGCCCGTGCTGCAGTGGGAGACGCCGACAGCAGCCCTGTTGGGCTGGGAACTCCTGCGAGTGCTGTGTGTCCTCAGCCTGTCTCTCCTCCCCGTGCCTGGGTGTCATCCCCGAGCCCTGCAGCACCAGAGCTAAGCAGAGCACAGTTATTTCTGTACCTCAGCATGCAGACAATTGCCACAAACTAAAGATGCAGGACGCAGCTCCAGAGCAGGGTCATGGCTGCTTCTCCTTCCCTCTTGGGGCTGGGCTTGTACTCTCAGCACATCTCTCGGTATCGGGTGCGGCACGCGGTCAAACCACAGGTTGCAGAGCTCAAAGACACTGACAGCTCTGGAGCCTCTGAGTGAGGAGGGGAGAGGTCCTGCTGTGCAATGGAGGAGGTGAGGTGCTGCGGAGAGAGGATTTCACAGGGTCTGGTGGGCACATCGCTCTCTGGCTCTTGCTTTTACTTTTAAACTTTCTCTTGTGCTCCTTGTGGGCTGAGAGGGCTGTAAGGGACAAGCAGGGCAGCACTCGATGCTCCAAGTCCCCAGGCCTGGAGCAGGGAAGGAGCTGGGGAGCTGCTGGGGACAGGTTCTGCCTAGAATCAGTGTCAAACCCAGAGTGCACGAGTGGGCATTTGAATGCATTGGAAAGGTCCCTTTGCACCCACAGCACCTGGGGCCACTGGCACCGAGGCTGGGGATGGTTGCATGGGGTCACCTGCAAGGGGACACTGTGGACTGTGAGTCGAGTGTGAGCTCCTGGGGATCACTCGGAGCAGCCCCATGGGGTCAGAGCTGGTTCATGGACGTGGGATCAGATCAGAGACATTGGGGCTGGGGTGGTGTTGCTCCACTAGCACTGTGCTGCAGCAGGGAGTGCGGGAAGGTCCCGGTTGCTCTCGCAATGACTGAGCGAGGTGAATCTGCCACTGCTCCAAGTGGGCGTGAGACGGAAACTGAGCCACCCTCAGGGCTCCCCACAGCGGGGCTGCTTGGTGGGGCTGGGTGGGGGCTGCGCATTGCAGTGGGGCAGAGGGCAGCGGGCATCCCTGGTTAGAGCATCTCTCGCATTGAGACAAACGGAGAGAGTGGGGAGCTCTCAGCCTGGAGAGAGTAACCTAGGGAGACCACGGAGCAGCCCTGCAGGGGGCTCACTAGAAAGGAGAGCGACTTTTTGCACGATCTGACAGTGACAGTACAAGAGAGAATGGTTTTAAACTAGAGTGAGGGCAGTGGGGCTCAGGGGGCTGTAAGGTCTCTTCTGAAGCAGTTTGGCTGTGATTCCATGATCTCTCGATACCAATCCCTCTGTGCAGGCAAACCCCACCCCCATGGTAATAACGGCCACCACCGACTTCTACACCTGGGAGTACAGCGTCTCGTGGGATGATGGCACGCTGCCTGAGCTGTGTGAGAAGCAGGCAGTGCAGGGCTTCGCCCGCACCTACCAGCCGGCCATCTACCTGCTGCTCTCACTGCTGGGCACGGTGGGCAACGGGCTGGTGCTGCTCACACACACCCGCTACCGCCGGGCACGCAGCATCACCGATGTTTGCCTGCTGCACCTGGCCCTATCGGACCTCCTGCTGCTGCTGACGCTGCCCTTTGCCGTCACTGTGATGCTGCAGGGCTGGTCCCCAGACACAGCTGCCTGCAAGGTGCTGCAGGGCGTTTATGCCCTCAACTTCTACAGCGGCTTCCTCTTCCTCACCTGCATCAGCATGGACCGCTACGTGGCCATTGTGCGGGTGCCAGCTGCGTGCCGCCTGCGCCCACGGGCTCGTCGCCATGGCTGGCTGACGGTGGGCCTGGCCTGGCTGCTGGCCACGCTGCTGGCACTGCCGCAGTTCATCTACGGCAAAGCAGAACAGCACCAGGACCTCCACATTTGCCGTGTTGTTTTCCCCCCGGCAGTGTCACGGGGAGCACGGGGAGCCACCAACCTCACGCAGGTCGTGCTGGGCTTTGCCGTGCCCTTTGCAGTGATGGCAAGCTGCTACACGGCTGTGGCTCGGACGCTGCTGGCGGCTCGTGGCGCTCAGCCCCACCGGGCGCTGAGGGTGCTGCTGGCCCTTGTGCTGGTGTTTGTGGCCCTGCAGCTGCCCTACAGCTTGATGGTGCTGCTGGACACAGCCGAGCTGCTGGCCAGCTGGGAGCTGAGCTGTGCACAGAGCCGCCGCAAGGACCTGGCGCTGCTGGTCACCAGCGGGCTGGCATCCCTGCGCTGCTGCCTCAACCCACTGCTCTATGCCTTCCTGGGCCAGCGCTTCCGCCGTGAGCTGTGGCTGCTGGCCAGCGATGCCGGCTGTGTGGGGAACATCGACCCGCGCTGCCCCGGCTGCCCCAGTCCTCGCCAGCGCTCATCACTCTCCACCTGCCAAGATGTGGCATAGGAATGTAGTGCCATGCCCAGGGCAGGCGCCAGCATCCGTGGGACTCAAAACCCCCCAGGGAAAGCCTGAATGGCCCCAGGAGTCCCTGGAGCTACTGATAGGGGCAGGACAGACAGACTGTGTCCTGGGCAGATGGAGACAACGCCTCGCGTGCAGAGCCCAGTGCCAGCACTGGGGAAACGTCCCCAGCTGCAGGGAGACCATGCAATGTCACAAGTGGTTGGGGGTGCATGCCACAAGGGCACCATGCAGTGCCACACATGCCCCAGTAGGACCGTGCATTACTGTGTGAGTGGGACTGCAATGCCACAGGGCAGCGCCTTCCACCTTCGTTTCCACCCTTGCAATAAACCCTGCTCGAACTACGCTGTGTCAGGCCACATCTCTGCGCGGCCGGGGACTCTCCGGGGTGGAGGAGCAGAAGCTGCCGTAGGTACCGAGGCCGATATCGGGCAGGCGGCAGGAAGCCGGGGAAGCGCCGCGGCAGTGGTCGGTGGATGCCTGCAGGAGGCAGCAGAACCCAGCGTTTCCTGTCCTGCCTGTTGCCCGACGCTGCGGGGCCTGACCGCGTCTGCCCGAGCCAGGGGCACCCACGGGGTTGGGACCCTCAGTCACGGGATGGGAACGGCCTAGCCGCACTCCAGCAGGGTTTGTCACAGCCTCCACATCGCCAGCAGGGCAGAGGCGGCGATGGAGCCCACAGACCCACACTGGGGCTGTAGGGGTCGGAAAACCCCCCGGGGCCAGCAGTGCGATCCTAGGGAAAATCCTGCTCCGGCTCAGGCTGGAAACTCCCCCCAGGGCGATGGGCGAGAGGGGTTTTCCTCTCCCTTCCTCTCCTCTCATTTCCCCACGAGATTTGGCCCCAGCAGGTCCATCCCAGTGGCTCCAAGCATTCCACACAGGGCGGTTGCTCCTGTTGCACTCAGCCTCCCGGCAGGGCTGAGCAATGCCAGCACAGAGCGCCCAGAGCAGCAGATCCAGGGTCTGCAGGGGCAGTTCAAGCTTCCCTGCGAGGGGGTGGTTCTGAGCCCCGGGTCGGTTCACCCTGGCTCTGACACCGAGGGTTTCTGTGTGGGGGGCGATGCCTCCCCATCTCTGGGTTTGGAGACCTCTTCCCGCTCACCCACACGCTCTGTAATCAGCCCAGCTCATACTGGGAAGCTCGGACCCTTCGCCTACTTCTGGGCAGAAATGCAATTACCACTGACTCAGTACCGCAGGGCCCCCATCCCCTCGCAGCCCCCATTCTGCTGCACCGACCACCCGTGTCCCGCGGACTCCCAGCTCCCTGCCCAGCTTCGGGCTGCCCCACGGCCGCGCCGTACCTCCCCGCACCGCGGGCACCACGCCAGTCCCGCAGCTGCTGCTCTGCCCCGCAGCAGTGGCCCCGCTCCCTGCCCGCGGCCCCTCGGGGCTGGCGGTGCGTGGGAGGCGAGCTGGCGGCTCCTGCCTGCACGGCCCGGTCCCAGCGGCTCCCGGAGAGCCGGGCGGATGCTTTAACCCTTCCGGTGCTGCAGCAGCCGAGGTGACGGCGCTGGCAGGACGGGCCGTGACCCCGCGCCCGCATCGTGCGCACGGTGCAACCGCGGCTGTGAGAGCACCGAACGTGCCCTTGGCACCGAGGGGTGAAAGGGCCGCGCCGGTGGAAGTGGGGTGGCGTCATTCCGTGCAACGTGGGAGCTGCGCCCCGCACGCGGCACCGGCATTCCGGGCCCTCCTGGGCCGGGGCTGCGGCGCGTTGACGGGACGGGACGCTGCCAGCTGCGCTGTGTGACACCACGCGCCCGCGGCTCCCCGCCCGGCGCAAAGCGCTGCTTCGCCAAGGCCGGACCGCGCCGCAGCCCCGGCGCAAAGCGACGCCCGCGGCCGCTCTCGCCCACCGCGCGGTCCCGGCGCCGACCGCCGCCCCGTTCGGCCGCGCGCCCCCGTCCGGCGGATGACGCAAACGGCGGCCCGTTGTACCGGGAGCCTCGCTCCGCCCCGGGCCGCGCGCGGCGATTGGCGGACGTCGGTGACGCGGCGGGACCGGCCCGCCCGGGGCGGCGGCGGCGGCGGCCGGAGCGCGACGCGGGAAGGGAGCCGGGCCCGGCGGGGCGATGCCGTTCCCCGGCGGGCTCTGGTGGCTGCTGTGCTGCCGGCAGGGCTTCACGCTGCTGCGGCGGGACTACGGCGAGGCGGAGCGGGAGGCGGACGGCGAGGCCGAGGAGGAGGCGTCCTTCGAGCTCCGCGCCCAGGGAGACCGGGTGGGTCCGAGCGGCACCGGACGCCAGCGGTCGCGGTGCGCGGTTCGGTTCGGACCGGCCGGAGGCCGCCCCGCGCCGCGCCGCGCCTCTTCGCGCTGCACCCGCCCCGCTCCCGGTGCGCGGCCCCGGCCCGCGGTTCAGCGGGGCCCGGAGCCCGACCCGCCGCGCGGGCCACCCGTGCAGAGGGGGTTCGGAGCCGGGCCCCGTGGCGGGGACGCCGCGAGCGCATCCGGCGGTTCCCGGCAGCGGCCGCCCGGCCCCGCTCCTTGCCGCCGCTTGCCCGGGCACGTCCTCCCCTCGCTCGGGGTGCGCCGGGGCCCGCGGGCCAGGCTGCCCTTGGCGCGTCCCCTCTGCGGGGCGCTGGGATCGGAGCCGCCGGGGCTGGCGGGCGAGCTCTGGCCGCCGGGGGCTGCGCGGTGGCCGGGCTGGTGCTGAACTCGGTGCGCCTCCAGCGACTGAGCGGCGGTGCCGGGGCCGGCGGGGACGTGACCCGGCCCGAGTGAAGAGGTCGGGGCCCGAATCTGCCCGGTGTTCGGGGTCCGCGTCTGCGGGGGCCGGAGGCGGTCGGGGTCCCGGGGGGCAGAGTCTCTCCCGCCCTCCCTGGGGGAGGCAGCCTGGCCTCTTTTCTCACAATTCGCGGGGCCTGGCGCCACGCTCCCATTAGTTCGGGCTGCGGGTGCTCCCAGAGCCCGAGCTGCCTCCGGCCATGCGGCCGAGCAGGGCTGGCACCGCGGCTCCCGTCTGTTGGACCGTACCCGCCGTCCTTTGCTCGGTGGCTCGTGCGCCGTGGCGTTGGCTGCTGCCCCCTGGGCTGTTCCCGGTGCCCTGGCAGCGCGGGGGGAACCGGAGCGCCTATGGAGTGATAGAGCGCAGCCAAATCCGGAGCGTCTGCGTGGAGAGCGGAGCTTCCCATGCCTGCTTCTCGGGGCAGAGCTGTGGAGCCAGAGCCTGACGCGGGATCCCGCTCTGTGCTGCGGTCGAGGGTGAGGTTGGTGCGGGGGTCCCCGTCGGCTCTGTGCAGCCCTGGGTCCAGGCAGCGCTGCAGGACTGCTCTCAGCACATCTCTCCTTCCAGATCTCCCCGCTCTGGCTGCTTCCTCTGCTCAGGGAAGCGGAGCGGCGCGGCGGAAGCCAATGCTTCCCTCCCGCCAGGCTGCACGAGGGATAGTGGGGGGAGGCTGGGAGCTGCAGGGCTGAATCGCTGCCGAGAGGGGCTGTGGGGCAGAGTGCAGCCGAGCTCACTGCAGCCCCTCTCTGCCCTGCATTGGGGTTTGCAGTGTGGTCTTATTGCTGCTGGGGTGCTCTGACCGTGAAGGGCTGCGGGCAGCCCAGGTGCCCCCGCTGCAGCAGATCCTGGCTCTCAAGGGATACCTTCAGCAGCACCTCCAGGGCAGGGGTAGGGAGGCAGGGCTGGAGATAGACCTGCTGGGCACTAGAGCTGGTGCCAAGGGCACAGCAGCAGCAGAAGCCTTCTGGGACTTCCTGCGTCCCACGGGCTGCTGGCTCCAGAGGTTGAGTCTGGCATGTGTGGCTGTGACGCCAGGTCCCTGGGGAGCCCTTTGCCCGCCCTGTGGCTGTGGGGTCCCCGTCAGCCTGTGGTGTGGCTGCCTCTTCCTGGGAGCGTGGGAGCAGCTGGCCTGGCCGTGGTGGCTCCTCTCTGGTTATTTATAGCCCTGAGAAGGAGCTGTCCTGTGGGTCATGAGAGGTGCTGGGCACCATCCCCGCGGCCCAGCCATGCAGGAGCTCACAGAGCCCTCCTTGCCTGAGGGGTGGCACAGCTCTGGGGGACACCATCCCCATGCACAGAGTGCTTCTGCTCATGGCAGATGCCCTTAATGCCACAGATCAGCGGTGCCCGATCCTGCCCTGGCGCAGCAGTACCTGGGGCAGCTCCTGCTCCCCGTCCCCACTGCTAATTTTAGCAGCTGTCTCTTTTTCTTGGCATTCTGCAGTGTGTTCTGACTTGGTTGTGTCTTCCACCATCAGGCTGCAGCTGGCAGTAGTGCCTGTGCACCTCCTGGGGCCATCCTGCCCGTGCCACCGCATCCCTGCACCCTGCCCGGCGTGGTGCTGGCTGGTACCGGGGCAGTGCCTCATGTCCCAGCATGTGCGTGGGGCAGTCACGTGTGTGGCTCCATCAACATGGAGTCGTGTCACACAAGGAGGAACCGTCCCCATCCCGCTGCAGGGCCAGGGACTTCCCTGCTCAGCGTCCCACTGCCGCGGGCAGGAAGTCAGCGGCCCCATTACAATGGGACTTTGTGCCGTAAGCGTATTACTCAGCACTGACCTTGTGCAATTCTGCACGGTATTCAGCCTGCTGGGGTGAGCTGAGGATACGCGGCCAGCGCACCCGTGTCTGCCCTGAGGGGTGCCCTAGCTGCAGCCATGCGTGCTCCCGGGATGTGAGCCCTTCCCTTTGGATCCAGAGACATGCGGTCATTGTGGGGAGATGGGTTGGGGGTGCTGGGCAGTGAGCGGGGAGTGAGACATCTCTCCTTCCTCTGCAGGCATCCCTGGAGGTGAGCCTGAGTCAGCCCACCCGCATCAGCAGTGGCTCGGAGCGGTGAGTGACCCCCTGCCACATCGCATCGCAGCCCTCACACCGTGCTGGGGGCTGGTACCCAGCAGGCACCAGTGTGCACCGTCCTGTCCTGCTCACGGAGCTGGGCACGGTGTGGAGGAATGGCAGAATCAGGACTGCCCGTCTCCATCCTCGTCTGCTACACCTCGAGCACATCTCCATCCCTGTGCCGAACAGCTAAGCTGTAGCAGATTACCCAATGGGACCCAATTGTGGGGCTCTGCAAGGCTG